ATTATGGGGGTGAGTTTGTGATTTATCGTTGCTCTGGTTACCCTCAATGCCCCACAGGTTTCAAATCCTGTAATGATATCTCATGTTTTGTGTTTCGTGGTTTTCGTTTGTTTGTTTGCCAGAGACACGTCTTCTTGACCTGAGTGTTTTAGTTCCCCTCTGCACCATGCCTCAGAGAAGATCTCTCCGCACATTCTTCTTCCTCCCCTGTCCCTCTGCCAACAGCGTTCTTCTTGACTTCCTATCTGAAACTTGTTAGCATGACAGTGAAAGGCAGTTCAGGTGGTGGTCTTGCTTGTTCTGGTCACGCCTCAGTGTTAGGCAGCCTCTCATTCCTGTGTCCTCTCCACGCTTTCTCCCTTCTGCCTCCCCTACCCTGCCTGGAGCTGTGGTCCCATCGTGTATTCGCGCCTCTCCCACAAGAGTATCTTTTGTCCCCAATCCTCTTTTGCACCTGCAGTGATGTTTCACCAGTTCCCTAAGGGCACCTGTCCTTCTCACCAACGCACACATGAAAGCTGTTGCTGCGTAGTGCAGAAAGCAGACAAGGGACAAGGATCTAGGTGGGATTCTTTGCCACTGCTGCATCATTGCTGTTTTCTTCTCCCAGGTCTGCCCCACAATGGACACTTTCTCATGGTTCTTTCCAATCTGGAGCACCAGTGGCATTTCCAGAAAAAAAATAGCCTTCAAAGGACTGTAGAATTCCCCAATTTCTGCAGAGCTCAGAAGAACTGTTTTGCCCACTTACACTCAGACTTAACTCACTTTTCAATTACTCTGACAGAACTCTTCTTTCTGATGTCTGGTGTCTGATTTGTGTGTCCCAAGTAAGTGGGGATGTGTCTTCTCTCTCCCACAGGTACCTGTTTCAACATAGATTTTGGCTCTGCAAACTTAACTCTCCAATGGATTTGAAACAAGTTGGCAATTTAAAGTTAACGCGGATCTTTCTCATTTGAAAGTTGTAGTAACGTTTCTTCAAGATCTTTGCATCATGGAATGAAAGCTATGCACCTCCTTTTTCTTTTTCTGTTTTTGTTGTTGTTTAAATACCTCTTTTTCTCACTCTCCTTCTTCTTTCCCTTCCTCCTCCTCTTTCTCCTTCCTCTTTCTACTTTCTTTTCTTTCTTTCTTTTTTGCCATATGATGACACATGGGAATTCTAGGACTAATAATTCTCTTTTTTTTTCACTTTATTCTTAACTTACTTGAGAGCTGGAAAAGTATTTGCTAGAAAATTATTCTCTGTTTCTTGGAGTAATTATTCTTCTATAATATATATTTTATCTGACTTTTACTTGTCTTTTTTGGAAAAGTTTGGAAACAGAAATATGTATCCATAAATCCTATGCTGATTCCTTTCAGGTTCTTATTTATCCATGAAAGAGAATGATTACATCTAGCCCATTCATTTGCTTGGGAAAAATGTGAGAGAGGTAATCTAAACAGGAAGAGGAAAGTTTCTAAACAAACTGAGGGTTGCTGGAGGGGAGGTGGGTGGGGGGATGGATAACTGGGTGGTGGGCATTAAGGAGGGCACTTGATGTAATGAGCACTGGGTGTTATATGCAACTGATAAATCACTAAATTCTATCCCTGAAACTAATAATATACTGTATGTTGACTTAATTGAATTTAAATAAAAAAATTTTTAAAAATGTTTTCTTAGTCTACTGGTCTCCCTAGTCTGGTTTATCAATTGCCTAGAAGACATGTCTTTTCTTCATTTCAGCATCCTTCCCTTTGATGGTGAGCAAGAAATAGATGAGTTTCTGAGTGAAATCTTTTATTGCACGATTTCTCCATACAGTGATTATCCCTTTCAGAGCATTCTCATGAGAGGCTTTCCAGTTGATACCTGCTTCCCCCTTCTTGTCTTAAAATTGACCTCTTGGAGAAGAAAACAGATCTCTTCAGCTCTTAACCTATCCTGGATTTGGATCATATTTGAATCAATTTGAACTGCATCTGATAGTCTTACAGTTTGAGATTGGGGGTTACACTGGTTACAGCAAGAAGTTTACTTCTGTTTTTGTTTTTCTTGTTGTGGTGGATTCCTGTGAAACTCAGAAGACTTTTTTCTCTTCAGAAGTTTCAACAGCTGTGTTTTTCCCCCAGATGGCTATGACTCAACCAGGGTTGTAAAACACTGCTGGTCATTGGGTTTTCAGAAATGGAACCTTTGACACAACTTGTCATTCCAATATACTAATCCTCATGCTGAATACCCTTATTTGATACTTGCAAATTAACATCTATATTGGCTTTATTAATTAAAGGTTTAGTGTCCAACATTCATGTAGTAAAATTTCAATTTAAATTAAACCTGAGTTAGTGAAGTATTCTGTTCAAGGGAGAATGAAATGTTAATGAGGACTATTCTGTATTTCCTTTCTTTCAATATCATCTTAATTTTAGCTACCATGGTATCTGACTGTAGCCTTCAGGAACATTGCAATAAACATGAGTGATGAGGTAAGATATTAACAGTCTTACATTTTAAAATGGCATCTAGTAAACAGTGGGGATCCCTTATGGAGAAGAACTTAGATGTATAATACCAAATGAATTCATCCAATCCATAGCAACCCCCCAAAAAGCCTAAAATAATCCTGTAGTTCAGTGATTCATTCAACCAACATTTGTGTAGTTAATAGCAATGAAGTTTAAAATTTATTTCATAGAAGTTTTCAAATATGTGGGACACTGGATGGCTCAGTCAGTTAAGCATCTCCCTTTGGCTCAGGTAATGATCCCAGGGTCTTGGGATCGAGTCCTGCATGGGGTTCCTTGCTGAGTGCGGAGCTTGCTTCTCCCTCTGCCTGCTCTGCCTGTCTGCCTGCCATTCCCTCTGCTTGCGCTCTCTCTCTGACAAATAAATAAATCAATAATCTTAAAAAAAAGAAATTTTCAAATATGTAGCACATCGACTGCATTGAAAATGTGAAGGATGCTATAATCTCTAAGTTAGATATCTCACCATATCAGTGAAGTCTTGAATCACCATGAGATGTGAATTTTTCATGGCACAGTCATTTTTGCTTTCATCCCAAGATTTCTTATCTTCAGCAATCCAGTAACATTTTCCCCCATGTAGCTTCCAGTCTTTAGAGGGGCATGATTTATGAACAGTGGAAAAATTGAAAGAAACTGGAAGGAAAAAGGAAATAATTAAAAGAAACTCAGAACTGTATCCCTAATAGCATATACTGATGAAAGCCTCTCAAAATTTGTTAAGTTATGGTCTAAAGCTTTTTTTTTTTTTGGTTTTATTTATCTGTTTGAGAGAGAGAGAGTGAGTGTGAGAGAGAGAGAGCACAAGCATGGGCAAAAGGATAGAGAGAAGCAGACTCCCCTGCTGAGCAGGGAGCCTGACACGGGGCTGGATCCCAGGACCCCGGGATCACAACCTGAGCTGAAGGCAGGTGCTTAACCAACTGAACCACTCAGGCACCCTTGTCTAAAGCTTTTTTTGACAAAAGTACGTGGTTTTTCACTCATCCTCCAAGGTGGACTTGGAAAAAATAAAGATTAACAGACTTGCAACCATGCATATATTCATTCTTTCTTCCTTTCTTTCTCTGTTTAAATTATTCACTTAAAAATATATCATGTTCTGGAACACTACATCAAAAACTAATGATGTAGTGTACGGTGATTAACATAACATAATAAAAAAATATATCATGTTCTCTATCAGCAAAACAATGTACCAGGCACTAAGATCAATCAGTGAACATCCAAGTTTCAGGGAGATAAAAATTTTAAAGGAAAAGTAGAAATTAGAGATTTTAATTAGTGATCCACCAATGAACCAGACATTTTGGGAGTTATATATCACACTGGAATAATTTTTCTTCGGCAAAAATTGTGCAATATGTGGCCCCCAAAACTCAAGAAAGATTGATCCTTCCATACACAAAAGGATCTTGACATCCAGAAATGTGCTTGTGATAGGTAGTTTTTAATTCATAGTATTTGCCAGCAGATTTAAATGATGACACATAGGCATCCTGTATATACCAAAACTTTACTGCCCCTTAAATAAATATCCTTTAAAAACACGCACATACCTATTCACACACAATGACCTGAAGCCACTGAATCGTGAACAAAAGCAGGCAGATTTTGGAGGGGAAGTGACATTTGAAATAGGTGTAACAAGGCAAAAGTTTCTCATTTTTACACATTTTAGCTTAAGATAGACCAATGTTGGATGCCATGTAGAGGGAATAAAACTTCAATAGCCAATTTGCAGTCTTTCTAGCCTAAAATACCGGAGAACAGAGTTTGGGGCAACCACAGATGCTAAAAATGAAGGGTGAATCCCTTAAATGAGAAAACATAAAGAATGTGCACCAAGCTCTATGGCTAAAATTTTTCCAAGTTCCTGGCTGATGCATGTGAAAGTTACATTCCAGCTAAGGATTAAAGAACTGATTTGAGATTAGAGCTGCTGCCCAAAAGACAGAAATTAAAATTTGAGTCCAACTATACCAAGTTCCTGCTAAAATAGGAAAAATCAACATTTTTTTGGAGAAATACATCAGAATCCATAGATTTCTTAGCATCACTTTCACAATGTTCGGGGCACAATCTCCAATCACTTAATGTAAGAAAAACCAGGAAAATATGACCAATTCAAAAGAGAAGGGATTCAATGCAGCCCAACAGGAAATGATGCAGATATTAGAATTATCCCCAAATATTCTAAAGCAGCTGTTTAACTATGCTCAAGTACATAAAAGGAAATATGCTTGCAATTAAAAGATACTTCCAAGAAATAGAGAATTTTGAATTTCATTAAGAAATGAAATTTATAATTGAGAGATACGTGATATGAAAATTTCATTAGATTGCCTTAAAAGCAGATGATTAGAAGAAAAAGTGGTTAGTGAACTTGAAATTTTCCAATATAAAAAACAGGGAAAAGGAGGCGGAGCAAGATGGTGGAGGAGTAGGAGACCTGGATTTCTTCTGGTCTCAGGAATTCAGCTGAATGGGGATCAAACCATTCTGAACACCTACAAACTCAACAGGAGATTGAAGAAGAGAGTAGCAACAACTCTCTGACCACTTACTGGAAGGTAGGACGTGCGGAGAAGTGAATCCGAGGCGATATTCGGGAGGATAGACGGTGGGGGAGGGGGCCTCCGCCGCTTCTGGCAAGTGATAGAGCCATGGAGCACAAAATCGTAACTTTTAGAAGTGGGCTCCACTGAGGGACGTCACTCCAGTGGCTAACCGGGGTGTGGAACCCTCGTGGGATAGTGTGGTCTCAGGACCCTCAGGGTCACAGAAAGACCGGGGGTGCCTGAGTGCAGCAGAGCCCCCAGGTATTGGAGCGGGGAAGCTGGCTGCAGAGACGGAGCAAGGCGCGGGGTCTCAGCTCGGGG